TCGGTAGGCCAGATAGGACACCATCCCATACTGTCGGGACAAGAGAAGAATAGATGGGGTTAGAAAAGTAGGGTTTAAGTGATAATAAAATACATGAAAGGGTAAACAAGGAAAAATATAGGTTGATTTTTTGGTGCGATTGGGTTCTCTCGATCGACTGTGGTCCTTTATATTTATAAGGTGGAAGATCTTGCCCCATAAGAGCATCTCCAAGAGTTCTCTAAATCCGTTCCTAATCCTTGATTTTTAGAAAGATAAGAAAAAAATACCTTTCCAACAACTCATAATCCTTCTTCCTAAAATTTACGCACTTGGGAAAAACCGACCCAATCCGCATCCGGCTCCGCTTATCCTTCTCCCCGCGCCATTTTTTCTTCGTGCCGTCATTTTCTCCTGCACTTTGGCATCGTTGAACACCATCTTGGCGAGGGTGGTCTTGCCCACGCCAGCGGCGCCCGTGACGGCAAGCACCTGCGCGTCCCGCTGGTCGCGCTGGCCCAGCAGCAGCTCCACCGCCGCCTCCACGTCGTCGTCCCAGCCCATCACCCACCCAGGGTCTTACATCAGCGAGGTCGTCTTCCAGAATGCGGCCTCCGGACCGAGGTCCAGAATGCTGCGGTCGAACTCCACATCGTTGTCGAAACACGGCATGGTGGACGACGACGAAGGTAGCTTAATTATCGATCGTTTCAGGTTGTAGCAGGATTAGAGGATTAGTTTGTTGTTTACGTTACGGCGAGGTCGATGAGTGCTGGCCGCCTCCTGGCCCTAGGTGGTAGCAGGCTACCCTTGGACTCCGCTGGCTAGCTGCGGCAGGGAATCGCGGGCTGGGAGGAAAAAATGGCGTGGGAAATGGCCAACGCCGGATGGGAGGAACAGGGCTAGGGCAACACGAAGGAAAGGAGGCGGCGGCGGCATACGTATTGCGCGAGCACGAAAAGACCCGCACGAAAAAAAGGCCAGCAAAAAAATTGATTTTTTTTAGAAATGAAATATTAGGAACTATTGGAGATGACCTTCTTTTTTTCTCCCAAAACCTTTTTAGAGTTGGCAAACATAGACTTTTTAAGAGGAATATTTAGAGAACTCTTAGAGATGCTCTTTTTTTAGATAAAGGATAGTTTATATCCTGTTTCATCTACCTCAGGGTAGAATCAGGCCAATTATTACAAAGTTCGGTACAGCGACCAGCACACAACCCACAGGGATCACAAGCTTACAAGTAGACACTAGGAAAACAAAGCGGGAAGTAAAGTTCTGACTAATGAAGACTAATAAACCTAGTCGATAACCATCCATTGGAATTAAAGAAGTGCAATGCTGATGTCTCCAGATGTTGCCCAATAAGAATCAGCTGATCCCGTAGATCATTATGCCGCTGCAGCCTTGCCCATTGCCGTAGCCAATGGGTTCCCCTGAATAGCACCTGCAAAAAAGTTTTCGGTCTGCATTTGTCAAAAACTACTTCATTTCTTGTTAACCAGATTGTCCAACATAAAGCTGAGGCTGCAGTTAATAACAATGAATTATGTATGTTACCACCCACCTTAGACCAATTAACAAATAAATCATGTATACTAAGGGGGTGATAACCCAAACATTAAATGTACAACACGCCACAAGAACTTAGCATAATAACATTGGAAAAAAGGTGTTGAATAGTTTCTGGATGGTGACAGAAGCAACATTTCGTATCACCATTCCAGCTTCGTCGTGCAAGATTGTCCTTGGTTAAGATCACACCTCTTTTTCAATACCACAAGAATATTTTTATTCTTGAAGGAATTTTGATCTGCCATAAATCCTGTGACACTCTGACCCTATTGTTAATTAGTGCAGCATACATAGATTTAACAGAAAATGTACCAGATGAATGTAATGCCCAAACAAACACATCCCTTTCCCCCTGTAAGTTCACATCTTGTAACGAGGCAACAATTCTATGCCAACCCCTTAGATTTCTACCCCCTAAATTCCGGCGAAAAGAAATGTTCAGCAGGATTGATGCAAGTACAGTTGCCACAAAATCCTGCTTTCTTCTCACAATATTGAACAACGAGGGAAATTTATCTTTTAATGGTTGGTTTCCCAACTAGGTGTCCATCAAAAACAAGTTTGTGACTCGTCTTTTACTTTGAATGAACCAAAAGTCATGAAACTATCTTTTACATTTATCAGTCCTTTCCAGAAGTGAGAGTTAGTGGGCCTTTTGGTATAGCTCCCTATAGTTTTATTTTTTATATATTTATTTCTCAATAATTCTTGCCACATGCCATCCTCATTTAACAGCTTGAAGAGCCATTGACTCATCAGGCATTTGTTTTGTAAATCCAAATTATGTATGCCTAAACCACCTTGTATTTTTGGTTGGCACATAATTTTCCATTTGGCCAGTCTATATTTTCGCTTGTGATGGTCGCTTTGCCATTAGAATCTTGATCTAAAGCAGTCGATCTTTATAATACTCCTTTTGGGAGTTTAAAGAAAGACATCATAAACATCGGTAAGCTAGAGAGCACTGAGTTTATTAAGACCAAGCGACCTCCTAAAGAAAGCATCTTACCTTTCCGTCTGCTAAGCTTGTTTTCAATTCTGTTCTCTATTGACTGCCAATCTTTATTACTCAGTTTCCTAGTGTGCATAGATAAACCAAGATACCTAAAGGGAAACTTACCCACCCCACACCCAAACAACTGCGAATAGAGAACCTCAGAAGTCAGAAGCTAGAGAGCACCGAGTTTATTAAGACCAAACAACCTCCTAAAGAAAGCATCTTGGAGATGCTCTTAGGAGTCAGAAGTCTTACAAATTAAATTCAGTGTCAAAATACAACTCTAAACATGGTTTAGGATGACCGGTTTTGAAAATTATGCTGCATGAATTCCACACGTCTGGATCTTTCGGAAGCCGTGATTTTCTCATCCGACTCTAAAATAGGTGTTCTACATATTCTAATTGTTTCAGCCAGTGCTATGCAACGGTGAAGTGTCCAATTACTGATTTGACTAAGTGTTCAAACGGCTTGGTCGGTTTTCCCGACACACCTGAGTTTGGTCAATTTTGGCTGCGAACAAGATATACAATCACAGAAGAAATAGAGTAAGACTTAATTTCACTAACAAACAATTAACTGATAATTTCCCATCAACTTGTGTTCATGTGTATGGGCAAAATATTTGGAGATATAAACATTAGAAATTCCTTGATAAGTTTAGTACCTACAACTAATAAAAATTGCTCATATTTTGATCTATATCTTCATTTACCAAGACCCACTACATACTCTATAATCTTTATTATCCAATTCTAATAAATTTGTGAATTACTTTTACTATATTTGTTTCACCATCCGTATTTATATTATTGTTATCCTTTTGCATCACATCATCTCCTTATGTCTACGACATGTGTGCTTAAATTAGTTATGTCAGCTCTTGTTGAAGCCTATGTGACGTCACATATGAATCAAGATCACTACCACAAAATGGAATACCCTTGAGGGTCACTAATTTCATTGAGGGGCGAGATTGAATCCTCAAGGAATATATCATTACCTTGGCGGTTATAGGAAGCCTTTAAGGAAATGCATATTTCTTGAGTGCTAAACCAAACCGCCAAGTTAATTGTACATTTCCTTGGGAGCTAGTCTGAACTGTCAAGGTAATTGCATGTTTTCTTGAGTGCTAGTTTGAACAGCCAAGATATTGCATGTTTCCTTGAGTGTTATCACAAACCAACAAGGTATTCAGATTTCGCTGAGTGTTATTCCATACTCTCAAAAAAACTGTATATTTTCTTGAGTGTATTTGAAAACTCCAAATGATCTCTGATGGAGATGCAACCTAAACCAAAGTTGTAGAACTCAAAGAGATATAAAACTTTGCAGTTGAAACTTTTTCCATTTGAAATTGTTTAGAGTAAAATATTTGCTACAAGAGTTCCACTAAATTGAATATAAAAAAGAAACAAACATTCACTAAATCGCAAATGAGCGTGTGGTGAAGAAAATGTATACACTTGACGGTTATTAGACATACCTTGGGGATCAGCCCTCAAGAAAATATATTTTGTTAGGGGTGTTATATTTCCTTGATGCAATTAAAAATTTGACCTTATCTTTGTTTCCTTGTGGTTAAACTTAAAGCCTCAAGAAAATCATTTGTGGTGGCCGACCCCCAAGGTAATAGCTATTTCTCTTGCTCTCTGTCCTTGGCGGTCCTTCCTTGAGTGTTAGCCACCAAGAATAATGTCTTTAGTGGTTTTCAAAACCCTCAAGGATATTCTGTTTTCTGGTAGTGGATCTTGGCTTTTAAATTTCAATCTTATTATTTCCTACAATATTTTTATCAATATGCTTAGTTGAAACACTAATGCTTATTGTACCTTAAACTATTTTCTTATTTCATCAAAGAAATGGACACCAAGTCCTAGACAACACCATTGCTACAACAGTATAAATGGTAATTTCAGTTTCTGTGCCACGACACTCAATAAGTTCATTTTTTTTCTCCGGTAATGCTGCATATAGCTAGGTCGTTCGCGTTCGGACAGCCCCCGTATAAGTTGCTCGCTTGCTTTGCGCCTTGCTCGCGCTGCCCCTGCCCGCGTCGCCTGCTCGCTCAGCACGCTGCGAGCATCTGCTCCAGGACGGACCCGCAATCGGCCACGCGGCCCCCCCCTGTGCCGCGTGCACGAGCCCGGACTCACGCCTCCCAACGTAGCTGCGCTCCATTCGCTTGCCCCTGCCCCTGCCCCTGCCAAGGTCCGTGCCGCCGACGAGCTCAGCATAGTGATATTATTTGGATTATGATTATTATTACGCTTCGCAAAATGCATGTGTATATCACTATGCTGAGTTTGTTGACTAATCAGAATCACTATGCACATATGCATTTTGCACGGGCTTAATTCTAGTCTCTACTGTCTATATAAACCACTTGCATTCATCGGTATGGCACCAATATCGGAAACAAGCAGGCACAGCAGCTGTATGCACTGTCATGGCCAGTAGCTTCTCCTTGAAACCACTAGAGTGCAGCAGCATGATGAGGAGCTGCTGCAGCCATATTTCTGCAGCTGCTTCTGCATCGCCGCCGGTCAGGCAATGGCCACGCAGCATTTCATGGCGGCGGCACAGCAGGCAGTTGCAATGCCGCCGGTCGTCGCAACAGGGTTACTCCGCCGAAAGAAAACGGCATGACGGCCTTGACGACGAAGGTGACAACCGCCTCATCCAGAACTCCGGCATCTTTCACCCATCTATCTGGGGAAATAGCTTCATTGGCTACTCCGACCCAGCTGCAGCTAATTCATCGCAACAACAGGTCTGTTCATTATTGTCAACAAATTCTTGAAACTAATTAATGATGTGTGATAGGTGCTTAGATTTTACTGCTGCATTATGTTGAGTTGCATTGCATCGTATTGTTTTCAGCAGATTCAGATGGAAGAACGAGCGGACAAACTCAGGGAAGAAGTGGCCGAAATGGTAGCAAGTTCAACTTCCACTACTGCTAGTAGGCTGCACCTCATCGATGCACTGGAGCGTCTATGCTTGGATCACCTGTTCGAACAAGAGATCAGTGCTGCACTAGCAGAGATTGAGACTGCAGATGTTAGTGACTATAATCTTGGAACGGTTGCACTGTGGTTTTGTCTACTCCGGAAACATCAATACAGGGTGTCGCCAGGTAGCACTTACGTTTCATGGTCTGCATTAATAATTAGCATCGTCATTAGTTTAACTAGCAAAGTGGCCGACTTGAGTAGATTACGTGGCTAATTAACGTGCAACTATATATCAACCTAATACAACTTCTCGTGCTGTTTGGTTGTATCTTGGGTAACGCAAACGAAAATGAAACAAAGCTACTTTCATTACCGGCGAGAGATAAATTTGAACTACTTCCATTTACGTTTGCGTTACGGTGCAAGGAACCAAACAGCTGGTAACAATGTTATATACTCCATGTTCCGCCACTAATAGTTTTCAAGCTCCTAATTTGACTAACACCACGATCTTGACATATGGAGTCATATCCTCTGGTACCATTCAACCTTATATAATTCTTAACTTAGCGGCCAATTTCTATGCTCTAGAACTAACATGAGCAACCTAACATGAACGTCCAAAGGCCTCGGGCGCGCGGAACTGTCAAACAAACCCACCCTAACCTTAGCGTCCAAAGACCATATTAATGTCAAAAAAATATGCATTTCAATTTGTAACTTCTTGTCTCCAAAGTTGCAACCATCGTGCCTGATAGAGAAGCAATATACGTCATCGCTCTTTTTTTTTTTGGTCTTGAATGTACTGCGGCAATGCTTTTCTTAATATATATAATAGCTCTTGCAACATATATGATGACAAAAGTCTTAGAATACAGCATATATATTATTCTTTCTTCTAGGAAGGTCCAGTTATAGCTGTAAGACCACCTAGCGCGCTCTTCAAAAGCGTGTTGTTTGTACGGTTAACTCTTCTTCTTAATTACAAAGATACGCAAATATTTTGCGTATTCGAGAAAAAAAATATATTATACTTTCTTCTAATTCTAGAAATTCAAGCTGAAAATTCCATGTCATATTTTAGATGTGTTTGTGAGGTTCAAAGACGGAGGAGATTTTGTAGCGGACAGTTCTAGAGACCTACTTAACCTTTACAATGCTGCGCATATGAGGACCCATGGAGAGATAATACTTGAGGAAGCCATGCTATTCAGCCGAAGGCGTTTAGAAACAATGATACCCTATATGGAAGGGTCATTAGCACGTGAAATAAAATCTGCACTTGAGATCCCTTCCCCTAGAAGAGTTAGAATCTACGAGTCAAAGTATTGCATCTCTGAGTATGAGAAACATGCCACGGTGCATGAGAAGGTGTTGCAACTTGCAAAGTTGAACTCAAATATTATGCAGCTCCATCACCAACATGAGCTGGCTATCATTACAAGGTGAAGTAACTCTTTTCATTTCAAATTTATTACCTAACTATATTTCAAATTATTACAAAAAACCAGTTACATTAATTGCTGATAATATTACATCTGAAAATTTTATAGGTGGTGGAAGGATATACAGGTTGAAACAAGACTTCCATTTGCTCGAGATAGAGTCGTGGAGTGCTATTTGTGGATATTAGGGGTATACTATGAACCATGTTATTCACGAGGCCGAATAATATTAACAATGATTATCGCCATTGTGACCCTTTTGGATGATATTTATGATTCTTATGCAACTCCAGAAGAATGTGAATTACTTACCAAGTGCATTCAAAGGTTTGTATTGGCTCCCTGCTTAAAAATATCTTTATCTTAGGTTCACTAAACTCTTTGTTTATCTTTACTGTTAAATTCTCAAGGAAGAGTAAAGAAACATCCACGCTACTGTTTGTTTCAAATCTCTGGGTTAGCTAGTTCATTCATTTCATCATACATGGAAACTGCCATCTAGCTTGGTGGAAATCCTACAAATGGAGACAAAAGCTGAATTTGAAATTTGCAAAATTTAGAACTTATTAAACAGAATATTTGGGACCCTAAACTATATCGAACAAAAAATGTCTACAAATTTGTAGATCATGTCGAGAGCAACAACGTTGGTATAGACCATGTCAACATTCAAGGTAGTTTGAAAGTTAAAAAATTTGAGTTTCAAAATTTGAGAATTTAGAACATATATTTCGGACTATAAAATATCTCAAATAAAAAAAACTTGTAAACTATATAAAGATACACTAGTAGAGAAATGACTTTTGATCCACTTCGAAATTTGGCTTTAGTCCCGGTATTTTTTGCGCCCGGGACTAGAGAAACCTTTAGTCCCGGTTGGTGTCTCCAACCGGGACTAAAGGTGGACCTTTACTCCCGGTTGGAGCCACCAACCGGGACTAAAAGTCCTCTAAGTTTTAGTGCATTTATTGCCGTGCTTTATGAGCTGATGACCAGCACTGAACTTTTAGTCCCGGTGCTTTACTTGTACATGCTTGCATTTACGAGCTGATGGCCAGCACTGAACTTTTAGTCCTGGTTCTTTACTTGTACCGCTTGCATTTACGAAATGATGACCAAAGATGAACTTTTAGTCCCGGTGCTTTACTTGTACCGCTTGCATTTACTTAGATTTAGTCCCGGCTTGCATTTACCGCTTGCATTTACGAGCTTTAGTCCCGGCTTGCATTTACCGCTTGCATTTATTGTTTGACATCGAAAAACGAAGACCTTTAGTCCCGGCTGGTATTACGAGCCGGGACTAAAGGTATACTATAATACCTTTAGTCCCGCTGGTATTATCAGTAGGGACTAAAGGTCTTTAGTCCCGGCATTCTGAGAAGCCTCGATGGGCGGCCCAATCGCAATATGCTAGGAATTGCTGGCCGGTCCACCTATTAGCACCACCTCGCTTGCTCGTAAGAGTGAAAGCTAACTTAAAAGCTCAGCTCTCGAACCAAGCAGCACGAACTTGAACAGGATTGTACCGCTGATCCTTGACTAAAGATCCTTTGTACTATAGTTTATATAAAATGTTGAACATTATAAATGTACGTATATTCTAGCAGCGTAGAATGCGTATTCAAAAACCAAAACGAATCATCAATTAAAAATAGGAAAAAAAGGAAAATAGAAATAGAAATAAAAAAACCTGGTAGCAGCGTGAAAATAGAAAAAAAGGAAAATAGAAATAGAAACAAAAAAAGAAAAAAAAACTTTAGTCCCGGTTGGGGTTACCAACCGGGACTAAAGAGTGCCGGCCTCGTGGCATGTCAGGAGGCACCTTTAGTCCCGGTTGGTGTTACCCACCGGGACTAAAGGACCCCCTTTAGTCCCGGATGCTTGCTCCCGGGTGGGGAACCGGGACTAGAGGGGGTTCCCCACCGGGAGTAAAGCCCGTCTCTGTACCAGTGATACAGATCCCATCAAGAGCTAAAACTTTAATATAAGACATGTCAACATTTGATGTCTTTTGAAACTACATATATTTGAATTAAAAATATGATATTTAAAACAAATATTTGGATCTCCACATGATCTCAAATAAAAAGTTGTCATCTACAAAATGGTAGATCGCTTTGAGATCTACAATTTTGAAATAAGTTTGACTTTATCTGACTGCAGATGAAAATGCTATAGATTATTTTTGTGATATCTATTTACAAAGGAAGGAGACGCACCTCTGGAAAAAGACACGTTATATTTGTAGAAATGGTTTCTTAAGAGACTCGCCTCTAAAAATTGATTTCTAGAGGTAGGCCATGGCCCTTGTGCCCTAATGATTTCTAGAGACATTAGATCAATAGGCCCACCATTGTAAACAAACTCTAGTGTCACAAAATTGTTTTTGTAGTAGTGAGTATGCTTAACATATCATAACATAGTTGTATTGTTGAAAAGTTTCTGCATGTGTATGTAGTAACATTTTTCTATCATTGTGATCACAAAAAAATCACAAGTTTTCGTGAATTATCATGTCCAGCTGGGATTCAAAGGGGGCTCATGACCTCCCAGAGTGCATGAAATTTGCTTTGGAGAAAATATTGGATAGCTATGAAACCATTGAAAATATGCTCCACCAGGAGGAGAAATATCGTATGCCATATCTAAGATACTTTGTAAGTTACCTTCCTCATCGAAATGTTTCAACCTTTTAGGTCTCGATATGAATGATTATCGAGGAAACCATAAGGTATATGTATTTTGCTACTAGTAGCCTTGCATGCTGACTTGATGCTATGACCACAAACATGTTATAAACACATACTCTACCTAGCTTTTTGATATGGGAAACAAATGCATATATTCACTATTGCCAATTATTTACAGACAATAGACCTGGTTACAAGTTTAAACATGGAGGTAAAAATGCTTCAAGAAGGATATATTCCGAAGTCTGTTGAGGAGCATCTAAAGGTTTCAATAAGAACTGGCGGATGTCCCATTTTGTCGTGTGCTTCCTTTGTTGGGATGCATGATGTAGCAACAGTGGATTGCTTTGATTGGGTTTCTAGTGTACCTAAAATGGTCCAGGCACTTTCTGTGATTCTCAGACTGGTAGACGACCTCGAGTCATATGAGGTAATATCCATCATTATTTATCTTAAAATATATAGGATAATCTTTGAAGCCTAATAAAAGGCTCATAATTCCCTTTTTTTTAGTTTGGAATTTGATTTTGCTATTTCTTAGATAACATTGCTTTACACAACAAAGTGACATAGAGGGAATTTTCTGACAAGCAAATTACATTTTATAAAACGCGTTTCTATAGGTTGTGAAATAAGCTTTATGTAGGCAGTGCAAACCGTCAGTGGAAAAAGCTAGTGAAAATGCTAAATTTCCCCTTGTGGTATTTCAATACCCTACTGGCATGGTTACGTCACCCACTTGCGGAAAATATGTGGAACCATATTATTCATAATAGGCAAAAAAAAAAACAATATTCCACCATCTAGATCTTGATGAAAAAGAAACTCTCCATTCATTGTCATCTTCTTAAGTACTAAAAATTAATATATTAGGCTATATAATGGAGGAACATGTGAAGCTACTCAATTGAAGTAATATTGGCTGCAGACTTTAACTGATCTGATGTCTTTAATGCCTAAAATACCATGCATGCCCTCCTACTAGCACATCAACCATGAATCCTATCTATAATTAAGCCTTAAATTGAGAAGCAACCTCTAAAAGGACATAGAAATGGCATAATCATCATCCTCTCGAGCCACCTCTTCATCAAGGAACTAATGCTCAAAACCTTTCCCTAATATTTTGGCACTTTTTCAGCCTCCATAGACTCCCAAAATATAGTGCACCCAGTCTGAATGCTACAGCACCAGGGAGAGAAGATATATCAAGTTGTTCGGCTAATGGTTTCTGCGGCTGATAAGCCAACTGAAGCTGATTTGTTGTGAGAGAAAAATACTGCTCTATACCTGATAAGCCAGGCTGATAAGTTCTAGCAATGGGTGCTTAAGCGGGGACTACCACTAGAAATGCATCTACAGTGGCGGCTAAGATAAGCCTACCTCTAGTGAATATGTCGGTATTTGAATCATGATCGCGTAATAAGAACCCACCAGTGAAAATTAAATGTTAATTTCTACTTGTTCTTGCTTACATTGACCAGTATAGGATATAGGAGCATTTCCAGCAGTGATAGCTCTGCTATGTTGACTGCCTCTGGAAAGCTATTTTCTTGGTAGTTTTTGGCAATGTTCCACTCTGGCTTACTGCAGCGCCAGCACAGCAGCAAATTTTAACCGCCAGCAGATGATGCCTCGATCATCTCAAAATCGTTTTCAATAGTATATTACTATTTTGGTATTGCTTTCCATGAGTTTGCCTGCCTTTATCTTACTAATCTATTTGAATGCTTAACTTTGTGCAGCGAGAGCAACTGATCCCTCATGTTGCTTCGACAATCGATAGCTACATGAAGGAGCATAATGTCTCGATTGAAGTTGCACGTGAGCAGATACACATACTCAAAGAGGAATCATGGAAAGATTTTAACAGCGAGTGGCTTAACCCAGCCAATGCCTACCCAAGGCAGCTATTGGAGCGGATATTCAACTTGACGAGGACAATGGAGTTCATGTACAACCAAGAGGAAAATTTCACAAACTGTCACAATCTAAAGGATTTCATCCAACTATTGTTGTTGGCTGAACCATTTACGATCCCCATGAGCTAGCACTATGTGCCATTGTAATAAATAAATTATTACTATCTAATTTATATGTATAAGGTTGGATTACCTCATCCCCTTGCACACTTGTTAGATTGAAGACTACAGTGGCTTGTTTCAGTCATAACATAAAAACATATAAGGTCAATCCCAAAAGGGAAGATCTTCATATTTGAAAATTACTGGATGAAACTTGAGGGATTTCAAAATGTTGTACATAATGGTTGGGTCAGTTGTCCAACACAATGTATGGACAGTGCAAAAAACATATCAGCAAAGTTCAAGAACATGAGGAAAATCTTAAAGGTCTGGCAATTTAGAATGACAAACCTCAAAGCCAACATTGCAAATGTCAAACTCTTCATATAGCTCCTAGAGAACCTTGATGAATTCAGACACCTAAGTCTGCATGGAATTTCAGAAAAAAATTAAGAGACAAGCTGCACCTTCAGCTCAAACAACAAAAAATTTAATGGAAACAAAGAGAGACAATAAAATGGGCTAAATTTAGAGATGCAAATACTAAGTTTTTTCATTCAAATGCAACTATCAAATACAGGAAAAACTTGATCAGCCACCTACAAGCTGAAGATGGCACCTCCTACACCAATCACAAAGATAAAGAGATTCTTTTGTGGGAAGCCATCAAAGAATGGTTTGGGTCCTCTGAATTCTCTGGCTTCTATTTTGACTCAGAAATCCAGAATCATTCACTGACAAAGCAAACTTTCTTGAGGTCCTACAGCAAGACTATACTGAGTCATAAATAGATACTGTGATCAAAGCTCTAACCAATGACAAATCACTAGGCCCAGATGGTTTCAACAATGAATTGCTAAAAAGATGCTGGCCTATTATCAAAAATGATTTCTATCAACTGTGTCATGACTTCCAATCAAACTCATTATGTCTCAGAAGCATAAACAACTCCTTCATAACCCTCGTTCGAAAGATTGATGGAGCTCAAAGCACTTCTGATTTCAAGCCTATCTCAATTTTAAACTCCTCAATCAAGCTCCTGACAAAACGCTTAGCAAATAGAGCACATAATTTCATCACTAGATTGGTTCACCAAAACCAATATTGTTTCATCAAACAAAGAACAATTCAGGATTGCCTAGCCTTGTCATTTGAATATTTGCATCTTTGTCAACACTCAGAAAAAGAAATTGTTGTCCTAAAGTTGGACTTTGATAAGGCATTTGACAAAATTGAACACCAAGCAATAGTAACCTTGCTCAAAGCAAGAGGCTTTGGAGATAAATGGGTAGCTTAGATAGAATAGATACTCTCTTCAAGGACCCTTGTTGTTTTATTGAATGGGGTGCCAGGAAAAACTATCCATTGTAGAAGAGGGGTCATGCAAGGTGATCCAGTTTCTCTCTTGCTCTTTGTTTTGGCTGTTGATCTCTTACAGTCCCTGGTTAACAGAATAAAGGATATGAGTCTTTTGAAACTACCAATTCATTTGAACAACAACAGAGATTTTCCAATTCTATAAGACACAGATGACACTCTGATTATCCTAGAATGAGAGGCCAGACATCTCTTTTTCCGAAAATCGCTCCTCAACTCCTTCTCTGCTTCCACTAGGCTGAAAGTCAACTTCATAAAGTCCATTTTTGTGCCAATAAATGTCTCTGATGAAAAACTAGAACACTTGGCTAGGACTTTTGGTTGCCAAAAAGGAACCCTAACCCTTCACTTATTACTTGGGCCTCCCCCTTGGAATAACAAAGCCTAAGGTGGAAGACTTTCTCCCAATGGTAAACAAATGTGAGCGTAGACTAGCCAGTGTTTCCACTTTTGTTTCACAAACTGGTAGACTTGAGCTAACAAACACAGTGTTCTCCTCAATGCCAACTTTCTACATGTGCACACTAACTCTGCCCTTATAGTGATCAAACAAATAGATAAGTACATGAAACATTGTCTTTGGAGAGGGGCAGAGGTGAATGCCAAAAAACCACCCAAAGCAGCTTGGGATATGGTATGTTTACCCAAGGATGAGGTGGCCTGGGAGTTTTAAATTTAAAAAAGCACACACAAATGCCAAGAGATTGACAATTGTTTCTCTCCCCTTGTCTCTTTCCCTGTTTGATCCTTGCTTCATAATGAGATCGCTGGTCAGGTTGCATGGTCTGTTTATGCATCCTTTGTTCAGCTCTAGATCTGTTTATGGTCTGTTTATCCCCATGTATAGTTGCCTCCCGGATGTTGGTATGCCTCTTTTAGATTTACATGACTGTAGTGTACCAATGTATCAGGCCACCATCAGTCAGATAAACGTGAGGTTTAGCAATCGAAGAGTGTTGGTGTCTCAGTTATACATATGTTCAGTTTTCATGGAATATAATAACTGCCCAGGTCATCTTGCCCATTACTCATTACAATGTGTTCTGGGCTTCTGGCCCTTTGGTGCTTTATAAGGCAGTGTTCTTTCCTTACTCAACTCTCTTTTTTCTTAAATTTCAATTATCAATTTGGTCAGATTGTGGTGAGTTATCTATGATCCTTGGTGTTTGATATACTACATTATCCACCCTTGGCCTTCTCTAGCCTATGTTACGTGCACTGTATTTTAGGGTAGGGCACAGGGGGGAACCTAACGATAGTTTTCCAGTGCATATGGATCCATTGTGAAGGTTACTTTCCGTTCCTACGGAATATATCAAAGCTATATATATGAAGCACATAGGAAAATATAATAAGCAGGATTGGTCAGTCAATCTCTTGAATAAGCAGGGCTGATCAGCTGGTCTCTTCAGCAAGTAGGACATTGTACGCCATCTCTTTTCTAAACATCAATTTTGTCTAGATTATCAAGACATCAACTTTGGTTGGATTGTCACGACATAAACTTCTCATTCTAATCAATTTTTGTCCTTAGATTGGCTAGTAACGTAATATTTTTTAACTGTGTACAAATAGGCGCTAAATGAATAGTCAGGCACAACGAAAGGCATAAGAAAATAACACTAGAGTAAGTCTAACATTGAGAAGGAAGGGGTGCTGCAGTATAGACGCCAAAGGGCTCATGTAAAGTGGATGCAATATGGTGATCGAAATATAGCCTTCTTCCATGCCGCCTGCACAGAGAGGAGTAATAGGATTGGAAAAATAAAGAAGGAAGGGAGTGGGTAGAGGAGGAGAGGGAGAAAAGAAGTTTTATTTCTAACTATTTTGTTAATCTCTTTAGGTCCCCCAGCAACCGAGATACTCAACGGCTGCTAAATTGTGTACAATGCAAAGTATCACAGGCCATGAATGATGGGCTGACAAGGCAGTACACACGTGAGAAGGTGGAGATCGCCTTAAGATCGATCGGGAATCTGAAGGCGCCTGGACCTGATGGCATGCCGGCCCTATTTTATAAGGAATTCTGGGAAGATATTGGTGAGAGAGTGGTGGAAGAAGTTCTGCAAGTGTTGGGGGGCGGATCTATGCCAGAACACTGGAACGACACTACTATTGTGCTTATACCGAAGAACACACAGACCTGAGAGCATCAAAGACCTGCGACCAATCAGCTTATGCAACGTAACATATAAGCTAATTTCTAAGGTGCTGGCAAATAGGCTCAAAGAGGAGAAAAAAGGGAAAAGATGGATATGCTGCGATTAAATTAGATATGAGTAAGGCATATGACAGGATTGAATGAGGTTTTCTGAAAGACATGCTGCATTGCCTCGGTTTTGATAGCTGTTGGATCGACCTTGTGATGAGTTGATGACATGTGTTTCCACGGTGAAATACAAGATTAGAGTGAATGGAGAATTGTAGGAGGAGTTCAGGCCGGAGAGGGGATCGAGACAGGGAGACCCAGTTTCGCCGTACTTGTTCCTGTTGTGTGCGGAGGGTTTCTCGGCTTTGCTGGCCAAGGCCGAACAGGAGGCAGGATCCACGGGATCAGTATCTGCAGGTCTACCCCAGCCGTATCACATTCCTATTTGCCGATGATTCTCTCATTTTGTGCAAAGCTAACACTGGGGAGGCACAAGAGCTCAAACACATTCTGTCTGTGTATGAGGAGTGTTCGGGACAGCAGATCAATGTAGAGAAGTCGGCTGTCATGTTTAGTCCTAACACTAGAAGTGAAGATAGACAAGGAGTGATGCATGCTTTGAATATTAATTCTGAGACTATGAAAGAAATGATACTTGGGGCTGCCGGTGTTTGTAGGGAGATCTCGGACAAATGTCTTTGCTTACTTGAAACAGAGAATTTGGCAAAGGATACAGGAATGGAAGGAGAAACTTCTGTCACGTGCTGGGAAGGAAGTTCTAATTAAGGCAGTGGCCCAAGCAATCCCTGTCTTTGCCATGGGATGCTTTGATATAACTAGAGAGATGTGCAATCAAATTAGCTCAATGATAGCGAGATTTTTGTGGGACAATCAAGACAACACTACTGGAGGCCGAGCCCTTTGCAGTCGGCAAAGTCCGCTCGGCAAAAATTTTCTCGGCAAAGGGTCTTTGTCGAGTACTTTTATCGGGTACTCGGCAAAATAAAAAAATGCCGAGTGCTTGGGGCGACACTCGGCAAAATACTTTTCGGCCGTTCTTGGCGCCGGCAAGAATTAATGTTATTTTGCCGAGTGCCCGACCCAAAGACTCGGCAAATTTTTTTTGTGGGAATACTTTGCCGAGTGCCCCAAATGCACACTCGGCAAAGTTTTTTTTATTTTTTTAAAAGGTACTTTTGCGAGTGTGCTTTGTCCGAGCACTTGGCAAAGTTTTTTTATTTTTTTTAAAATTACTTTGCCGAGTGTGTCCTTGCTCGAACACTCGGCAAAGTTTTTTTTATTTTTTTAAATAATTTCTTTGCCGAGTGCCCTGCTCGAGCACTTGGCAAAGAATTTCTGAATTTTTTAAAAAAATACTTTGCCGAGTAGTACCGCAATGAGGCACTCGGCAAAGAAATTTTATATTTTTTTGAAAAATCTTTGCCGAGTGCCTTGCCCATGGCACTCGCAAAGACCCCGAGAATTGCAAATTTTTTACATT